AATAGGTTGGAGGAGATGCAGGTGAAGCTCTGTCTCAACTGGAAGGACTGTTTAAGGCCCTGGATGGAGATATGGGAGATGGTATGTGGGCAGGTGTTGCATCTTTTATGGTTACAGGGGAAGGTACCAGGCAGTTTGGAGTGGTTTGGTGGAAGTTACTCTTCTGTCATTACATCAAGGAAGGGGAGGGAGGTGTCTAAGATAAACCAAGTGAATTTGAGCACGAGGTGGAAGTTGTTAGCGAAGTCGATGAACGGCTCCAGTTCAGCCTGGGTGCAGGACACAGCACCGATGCAGTCAGCGATGTAACTCTCACCGACGTGACCACATACAATCCTCAAACCAACTCCCAATTAGGACTCCCTCCCTAGTTTCCAATCTGATCCTGTTCCTCTGACAGCCCCCAGTTATAACCCAACCTACTCTCGGTTCATGACAATCGACAACACCTCCCAGTCGCAGACCACTTCAACTCCCCCTCCCACTCCCTGGACAACGCGTCCATCCTGGGCCTCCTCCAGTGCCACAATGATGCCACCCGAAAACTAGAAGAACAGCACCTCATGTTCCACCTGGGAACCCTACAACCCAATGGTCTCAATATGGACTTTACAAGCTTCAAAATCTCCCCACCCACAACCTCGTCCCAAGACCAGCCCCTCCTCTCTTCCCTGCCTCCTTGACCTATCTGTCTTTTCTCCCACCTATCCGCTCCTCCCACCTCACTGACCAAACCCCACCCCCACTTCCTACCTACTAGCCTCATCCCCTTCTTCTTGACCTGTCCGTCTTCCCTCCCACCTACCTGCCCCTCCCTCCTCACTGACCAACCCCGTCCCAACTCCCTATCTACACTCACCTTTACTGGCTCCATCCCCGCCTCCCTGACCTGACCGTTTTCTCTCCACCTATCTGCTCCTCTATCCACCTCCTATCATCGCCTCCCCCTCTCTCTCTTTATTTAGGAGCTCCCTTCCCCCTCCCCCATTTCTGAAAAAGGGTCCAGACCTGAAACATCAGCTTTCCTGCTCCTCTGATGCTGCTTGACCTGCTGTGTTCATCCAGCTCTACACCTTGTTATCTCAGACTCCAGCATCAGCAGTTCCTACTATCTCTGTTATGGATTACTCCTGCTCCTGAGCCTTTACGTTCTTAAGGTCATTAATTGCCTTAAAACATGAGTCAGTAAAACCAAAAAGTAATAATCTCACATCTCCACCTCTGCTCTGCAGCATTCTTTTAATGGAGCGCAGACATGGGTAACACAGAGACAGCACGGCTCCCAGTGTTTTGACCACAACACCTACACCTGAATTTAATTGTGTTGTGTTTCATTTCACACTTCCCTAGTGTAGCTCTCTCTATCTGTTGCATTGCCCTTTGTTGTACTTTGTGTCTTTCTCATCTGCCAGGACTAGTGTTCGCTTTTGCCTTTTTGCACATATTTTTCTTCCGGTTTTATGCAGTCACTTAACTCTTTTGTTGTCCGTGGGTTTTGTTTTTAGCAAGTACTAGTATAAGTTGGTTCTGTATCAGATTAAATTCTTTCTTGAACACCTTCCAACTAAGGTTAGTTGCTTTGCCCATTACTGGATTTGTTCAGTGTTCTGTGACAGTGTGGCCATGCACAAACAAAAAAAATCCGAAAGGTTAAAGCAACATTGGAGTTTGTATTGAAGCTCTGGTCAGTCAACATCTGGAATATGATGTAATTTTCAGACACTTTGGAAAAAAAATGATACCCTTGGAATTAATCCAACACAGAATGTTATCAGGTCTCCAAGGATTAAATTATGAGGAGAAATTTTAGAAATTAGGCTTGCACTCATGGAATATAGATGTTTAAGTGGTGGCTTGATGATCTTGCTTCCACTTTTGAAAAGAATTGATAGGCTAGTCAAAGAACAACGTTTTCATCGATTGGCAGGTCAAGGGTAAGGAATCATATCATCAAAATCAGAGGCAGGCCATTCACGAGAGAAGTGAGAAAAAGGTTCTTATCATTCAAAAGATGGCTGAAGTATTGACCTACCTCACACAAAGAGTGACCTTTTAAAATTCAATCGTGGTAATGTGGGCTTCACTTGGGTTCAAATCCCGCCAAAGCAGACAGTGGAATTTGAATCTGATAACCAAAAAAATCTGGAATTAAGAGTCTAACCATGACCACAAAACCGTTGTTGATTGTCAGGCAAAACCCATTCAGTTCACAAATACCCTTTAGGGTAGGACATCTGCTGCCTTTATTTGGTCTGGCTGACACATGACTCCAGACCCACAGCAATGTGTTTGACTGTTTAGTGTCCTCTGGGCAATTAGGAATGGATATTAAATGCTGGCCTGGCTATTGACGCCAACATTGCATGAATAAATAGAAACAAATCTCAATTTGATAACAAAAACAAAGTTGCTGGAAAAGCCCAGCAGGTCTGGCAGCATTTGTGAAGGAAAAAACAGAGTTAACATTTCGGGACCAGTGACCCTTCTTCAGAACCCTCAATTTGATAATCTCAGCACTCCAAATAACCTTCCCAACAGTGCCCTCCATCATTGCTGACCAAATATCTGTCCTCTTTTGCCTTAAAAATGTTTAAAGATTCTGCTTCACCTGTTTTTTTGAGGAATAGAGTTCCAAAGTCTTGTGACCCGCAGAATGAAAGAATCCATCTCTATCTTAAGTCAGCCTCTCATTCCAGATTCTCCCACAAGAGGAAACATCCCTTGCAGGTACATCTGAGTTGACGTATTCAAACAGGAAGATTTTGCACACTTTTGCCTTGAATATTAAGGACACAGCTTTATCAAGCCAAAGGAGGTGGGAATACATGTTAAGGAACTGGAAAGACACTCCCTGTGCACCACCTCTCCCCTACAACATTCCTGCACCCCCACCCACAGAGCTTTACTTTTTAAATTCAGTCATGAGATATGGGCATCACTGGCTGGGCCTGTATTTATCCCTAATTGCCTTTTGAAGGTGTAATGAGATGCAGTCCATTTGGTGTACGTATCCCCACAATGCCTGAGGGGAAGGGAGCTCCAGGATTTTGTCCCAATAACAGTGGAGGAACTGTGACATATTTTGATGTCAAGATGGTGAGTGGCTTGGAGGGGAACTTAAAGAACATTGCTGAATTTCTCAAGTTGTAAATAGATGTAAATAGAGTACATGGCCATTTAAAGCAATCATCAATGACTTATTAATAAGTTGACAGCTGGCTTCCTTTACCTGATGCTCCAATTCCACAATTGTTTGAGCTTTTTTTTTTAAGTCACTTCAAGTTCCAAAAGTCCTAAAAAGTGGCTGAATAACTTTACGGCTTTTCCGTAAATCAGATTCCCTCTGACATGGGCTCATGAGTGGACATTCTGCTTACATACAGCATAGAAGGAGCTGGTGGTATGACAGTATCTTACTAGATTAGTAATTGTGAAATCCAGCCCAGGGTTCAAATGAATGATGGAAACAGGCTCAAATCTCAACATGGCAGCTTGGGGCAAGTGAATTCAATAAAGACTTCAATAAAGACTGGAATGAGAGGGAGTAAGAGGGAGTAGGCCAAGCAGCCTCTACTCTGCCATTAAATAAGGTCATGGCCGGTCCAACTGTAACTGCAAAGCTACATTTCCATCCAGCCCTGATAAGCAGTTGGGTAAAAGGTTAACAAGAAACAGTCTACCTCGGTCTTAAAAATATTCATAGGGTCTGCTGCACCATCTTTTCAGGAAGAGTTCCAAAGTCTCAAGACTTTTGGACAGAAAAATTCCCTATCTCTCAACTTATATGGATGACCCCTTATTTTTCAGCATTCTCCCTCTATGTTCACCTAGCAAGACCCCTCAGGATCTTGTGTAACTCAAGTGACATCTTACTCTTTGAAAGTCCAATGGATACAAGACTTAACTGTTCACTACTTCCTCACAAGACAACCCACCCATTCCAAACATTAGTCTAGGAAACCTTCTGAACTAATTCAAGTGCCTTTACATCCTTCCCTAAATATTACAAACAATACTGTAGAAGGATGCCCCTATAACAGAGGCAAACACTCCCTACTTTTGTAGTCAAGTCCTACTTTTGTATTCAAACCCCCTTGCAATAAATGTTAACTATTGCTAGCTTTCCTATTATTCATTCTACTCACATTAAGTTTGTGATTAGTGTGCAAGGACACTTTGCATCTTAGAGGAGTTCAGCCCCCCCCCCCCCACTGCTTGGATAAAATAAACATTTCTTCCAAAAAAAAAATTTTACATTTGCCCATGTTATAATCGTTTGCCAAATCATTACCAACTCACCTAACCAGTCAACATCTTTGTAACCTCATGTTCTCTTCACCAGCTTCTTTCTTTAAATTTTCTGCTTTGTCTCCTACCCCATTTTACTAAAGGAGCTACATTTGCTTTCTTCCAATCCAATGGGACTTTCTCCAAGTCAAAAAAGTTTCAAGATGGTAAAGATAGTACCATCAACTGTCTCACTAGCTACATCCCTACAGACTTGAGGGTGAAGTCAATCACCCTGTCATCTGTCAATGTGCAACTATGAAGGCCTGTGTGCCAAATCTCACAGGTAAGTGAGATTCAGGCCACCTTGCTGCATGTTTGCCAGCAGCCAAGCCAACCACAATGCATCTTTGTGATCTAAAGGTCAATTTTGGATTTTTCCTCACTGCTTCCATCCAAATTATTGCGGTCAGTGCTGAAGGTTTTGAAGTGATGGGATGATATTAGCATGCTACCTTCATTCAAATCTGGTTCAGTAAGCAACATGACATTGTGTCTATTTGCTCAGTGACTCATCTTATGTTGAATCTGCTATACAGAAATGGTGGCAACTTTTCTTTTGGAAAAGGAGGAAGTTCATTGGTTTTAAATACTTTGAATCACTTGAATACGTGAGGCCATAGAAGCTTCTATCTAAAATAAAATCTTTAAACCGTTGCAGAAGAGTGGGAAACAAGTGTTTGGCAATACATTTATTTCATAGGAAAACAAGGTAAAACCACAAATAGTTGCTTTAGTCAACAGCAAGGCTTTTTTTAAAAAAGTATTGATAAAGTGAAATAATCTTGGAGCCAAAATACCAAAGTACAAAATTGCAAAATGTTAAATTGAGCATCAAACAAATTAGATTCACAGATTGAAAAATCAGAACATTAGGATTAGTATAAATGCCTCAAAATGAGCATTGAAACACAAATCTGCTCAAGTATAACAATAGCAGAATTTGGATGGAGAGAATGTCTTAAACATTAAATAGATGGTAGAATCTATAATAAAGTAGAGCAGAAAATCAAAGATGCTCCTTTCTGGGATTGTGATTCATTCCCCTATTTTTCCCTCCAGGTTACCCTACATTGCAGAAAATGCACCCTTTGTTTGGATAAAGGTAGCTTCCTTCCCCCAACCTGACATGTGCCTGGGGTGAGAGGATTAACCACTAAGAATTTGTAACCCAAGAGAAAATCTCTACACAATTAATGGTTTGTAACCCACTAAAAAAAAATAAACTGCTGGCAGGGTCAGTCTTTCAATTGGTTCAGTAAAGGGTGGCATAAACAATATAGAAGCTGACCAGAGGTTCAGCTTGTCCATCAATTAGGTCATGGAAGATCTGCATGTATAGCTTAATCCATTAACCAGACTTCATTCTGGAGCCTTTAAACACCCTTACCCAAAAAACAAAAATCTAAAATTCAGTTTGAGACTAAAGCTGGGCTTCCTTGATGGAAGAGTTCCAGATTTCCACTTTCCTTTGGAGCTTTCAGTATTCCAACCTTTAAATATTAAATACATTTCAGGCATCGTTTGCTCCACTGTGGTTAACATATAAATGTGGTAATTATAGTTGCAGGGAGAATTGATGTAAAACAATATTAAGAACAAAAATCAGCAAGTTTGGGAAGGAGGAAATCTTCTGATTCCATGACATTTGATACTTGTGCTGATGTTCATGAGGAGTTCTTCCATCTCAGTATTGACAATACCGCATGTATTGTATAAAGTAGGGTGGCCACAAATGCAAAGACCTGAAACAGGCAAGAGACAAGAAGTGTTTACTACAAAAAAGTTATTAACTTTCAAAATAACCTGTGCTCTTAAGCATGAATTTTGATCCATGTTCCATTCTCATCTTAGATATTGTGGAAATAGCTCACTAAAGAATGAGACCAGCAGTGTACTGATTAGGCAGCCAAGCTTCAAGTTCTTTTCTCAGCAAAAAAAAGTCTAAAAACTATGAACAGGGAACAAGAGTAGGTCATTTGGCCCATCAAGCCTACTCCACCATTCATTCAATTAGACCATGGCTGATCTAGTTAAAACTGCAACTCTACATTCCTGACAATCTTTCATCCTGAGAAAAAGGATTTATGTCTGCCTTTAAAAATATGCCCTTCTGCAAAAGGATGGGGAATTTGAAAGAATCTCAAACCTCTGACAGAAAAGCTGTTTGAAGTGGGCACCCCCTTACTTTTAGAGTATGGCCCCAGTTCTGGAATCCCCTACAGGATGAAACATGCTTTCAACATTTACCTGCTCAAGTCCCCTTGTACATTTCAATTAAGCCATCTGTATCCAAATTCCAGAGGATACAGTCTGTGCCTGTCTTCATAAGACAATCCTCTCATTCCAGGCATTAGTCTAGTAAACCACTGATCTGCTTCCAACACATTAACATCCTTCTGGAAGTAGTGGTCAGTGGTGTACACAATACTCCAGATGCAGTCTAACCATTGCCTAGTATAACTGAAGCAGAACCTCCTACTCTTGCATTTAATGCCCTGAACAATAAAACATCTGATTAGCATTCTTGATTACTCATTGTATTGGCAATTATGTGCTAGAACAGCAGTGAAGATTCTGCAATCACTCCTTAAAAAAATAAAATAGACATAGCTCATCTGGGGATCTGGCTCCTAATGATCACTACCCCATGAGCCCAGGTGACTGAAGAAATGTCACAGCAAAGACAGAAGTGGACTCAGTTAATGGCTCCTGCACTCTTACCTGGGGCCATTGTTAATGTCAAAAAAAAACAAGGGAAATTAATTTCACCTGCAAGTAATTTTTATAAAAAAAAAAAAAAAGAGTATTCTGCACTCAAACACCATTCATCCTGGGGAGAATGAAATGGTGTCAGACATATACTGTGGAACTTTTGGGACAAAGAACAACAGATCATTGAACTGCCATGTTCCCATGTGAGCTTACTGAATGCAGAGGAGCAGAAACAGCTACTTGATAGTAATAGATAGCCAATAAGCAAAGACAGGGGAAAGATTCTAGTGTCAATATTCCTGATGTGGGAGCAAGCTTCCTGGTGCATGCAAGAACTCAGGCTGCCAGCAGGAAAAAGTTGTGACGGAGCTAAAGCAGATCAACTAGTGGAAAGTTGAGGAAGGGTCACCAGGCCCAAAGCATTAACTGATTTTTTTTTCCTTCACAGATGCTGCCAGACCTGCTGAGCTTTTCCAGCAAATGCTATTTTTGTGCCTGATCAACAGGGGTTGGGGAGGAAACTCCCCCTCCTCCCCTTTCTGCCTGAATAGATCCCATCACCTACAGGATTTGGGCCATTGGTTAAATCTCCAGTTACAGGAGACCAAATCAATCATTCTTCATTGGACAGGTCTCCCAGAGGCAGACTTTTTAAGATCAAGCCAGTCAGTCATGGACTATTAGTCTCCAATGGAAGACTATTTGCAATGGCAGTAAAAAAGGTTCTGCCCACAAGTTTCAGCATCATATACTCCCAGGCAATGTCCCAGATGTGTCCCAAGAACCAATTCAGTCAAGCACGTCTTCCAACTGAATCAGCAGGTCAAAAAAGCAAAAGGCACCAAAAAAAGTTCTGTCCAGAGAGAGAGGGTGCCACCCATCATTACCCTAATGAACCACAAACCAGACAATGGCTTTGATCACTCCTGTGTGGAGTTTGCTGATTCAGTTATTGAAACAAGTGAACTGCTACATTGGCTTCAGCAGCCCTGGTGTAGGGAAAAATAAAAACCCATCTATTGTCCTGAACCAAAAAACCATGTACAATCGAGAGATTCCAAGTGAATGAGTGGAAACTCAAGATAAAAAAATGCTAAGCAGCTCTGAAACTGTGTCCTGCTGAAAGTTAGTGCTTTAAAGAGTGAAGGCAAGAAAGATTGTGTGGAACATTTTTACTACCAAAAATGTTAGTTTGCTTAAACTGGGGGAAGGCTGCAGTGATAAGTCACTGGATTTGTATTCTAGGCTGATGTACTTGGGCAGGATCCCACTGTGGCAGAAGATGCTATTTGAATTCAGTACAAACAACTTGCCTATTGGTGGACATGTGACCAATGCTGATCACCCCAGAAACCCCATTTGGTTCACAAAGAAGTCATTCCCATCTGATCTGGCCCATATGTGACTCCAAACAGCAATGTGACTGACTCAGTCTCCATCCCCAACTGTCCAGAGAGCAGTTAAGTGTTGGCATATTCAATGATGTCCAAACCCTGAGTGTTTTTTTTAAAACAATCTACCCAATTCCAGCACAAGATCAGAGCCAAGTTATGAAATTAGTGGTGTCTTCTCTCCCATCGATCCACTCCCACCTCACTGACCAATCCCCACCACTGCCTACCTGCACTTGCCAGTCATCATCCCACCTACCTTCCCCAGCCTCTCCTCTCCCTTCTCTATCTGAGCTCCCTTCCCCCTCCCCCATTTCTGAAGAAGGGTCCTGACCCAAGACGTCAGCTTTCCTGCTCCTCGGCCTGCTGTGTTCCTCCAGCTCTACACTTATCTGACTCCAGCATTGGCAGTTTACTCCCCAAGTAGAATGCTTCAATAGTTTACGTTTGTAATAGGAAGGAAACATTAAACAGATAAGGCTGCTCCATGCCAAAGTTAAAATTGGTACAAAGTGGGATATGAACAGGATAATCATGCCTCAAATACAACATGCCTGGTTGCTTAATGAACTTTAAGAAAAAAATTTGCAAGTTTATTTTATTCTTTCTTGGGTATGTGGGTGACACTGAAAAGATCAGCTTTTCTGGCACCCAATGACAGTGAACAGCCTCTGGGTCCATCAACTGTACTATTGGGGAGGGAGTTTTTAACCTCCAAGGCAGTCAAACAAAGGCTTTATCATCCTGACTTGGAATGATATTAGGTCTTGAAAACAATGCTGGAGATCAGTGGGTCAGAGCATCCATGGAGAGAAAGCAAGCTAACATGGAGTCTAGATGACTCTTCAGAGCTGAAGAGAAGTGTGAAGGGGATAGTATTTATTCTATAGTTTTTTTTGAGGGGGTGGTGGGCATGTGGAGTGCTGGTGGAGAAAAGATGTTGATAGTTGAAATTAAGTGATTGTTCTGCTATTCTCTCATTCCAATGGTGGTGTGTCCCCTGCCAAACTTTAAAGGCTAGATAGTTCCACTGGGATGGGGTGGTCAGGAGAAGATGACATAACAGAATGTGACAAGCTTAAAGAAAAGAAAAAAGCATTCACAATTTGAAGGTGTTGAACTCAATATCAAGTCCAGAAGGCTGTAAAGTGCCTAGTCTGAAGAGGAGGTGTTGTTCCTCCAGCTTGTGCTGCGATTTACCAGAGCACTGAAGCAAGCCCAAGGATAGAATGTGGGCACATGCACAGGATGCAATGTTAAATGGGGAGATGATGGCCTAGTGGTATTATTGCTGGACTATTAACCCAGAGATGCAGATAGGGTTCAAATCCTGCCACAGCAGATGGTGGAATTTGAGTTCAATAAAATATCTGGAACTAAGAATCTAATGACGACCATGAATCCATTGTCAATTGTCAGGAAAACCCATCTGGTTCACTAATGTCCTTCAGGGAAGGAAACTGCCATCCTTACTTGGTCTGGCCTACATGTGATTTCAGACCCACAGCAATGTGGTTGACTCTTAACTGCCCTCTGGGCAATTAGGGATGGGCAATGAATGCTGCCTGGCCAGCAACACTCATCCCATGAATGAATAAGGAAAAAGCTACAGGAAGGTCAGGATTATGCTTGCTCACAGAGGGGTAAAAGGTAGTGTTCAATGTGCCTTTTGTCAAAAAAGGCAGAAGTGCTGATGCTGAAGTGAAACAACACCAAACTGCTTGATAAACTCAGCAGCTCTGACAGCATCTTTGGAGAGAAAGCACAGTCAATGTTTCAGGTAGTGACCCATCTTCTGAAGAGTCACGCCTGACCCAAAACATTGACTCTTCTCTCTACAGATGCTGCTAGACCTACAGAGTTTCTCCAGCTATTTCAGCTTTTGTGCTCTTTGCCCTTGTACTTCTATGGTAAAGGTAGGGAGTTTCAGATGCCACTGCAGTGCATTTTGCAGATGGTGCATACAGCCATTATGTTGTGGTGAAGGAAGTGAGTGTTTAAAGATGTGGTGACAACAAGAGGGCTGCTTTGTCCTAGATTTTTTTTGGGGGGGTGGTGGTGTTATCAGAGCTAACTCATCCAAAGCAAGCATATCCCTTCACATTTCTGACTTAGCCATCATCTACAAAAAGGTAGAGGCTTGGAGGAGGAAGAGAGGAGTTATTCACCAGTGAAGTCCCAACCTTTGATACTTCTTGTAGCTTATTCAGTCTAGTTTGTTTAATGCTGATCCAGTATATTGGCAAGGATTTGGTAATGGCAATGTGACTGAACTTGAGGAGACATTGTTGAAGATAATCATTGGTGAGCAGCATTTGTGCCAGACAGTCACCAGCCCTAGAAAAAGAATGTCTTGCCCACAGCAAGGCATGAACAGCAATGAAATAGTGATTGCACAGAATTCAATTCTATCAACATTGCCACATCTGACCTCAAGTGGCAAAGGTGATTCATGATGCATCTTAAGGGTAGGCAATGGCCTAGTGGCATTACCACTAGAATCAGAGGGTGGCTGAGAGTCATCACAGCAGAATTCTGGGAGACATCACCACAGCCATCACAACTGTGCAGCAGGTCAGAGAGAGCTTGGTGTTAAAGTATGGTTAAACCTGAAACATTAGATTGGTGTTTCCCTCCCTCCTAAGAAAAATGGCCTCTGCAAGGCAACCAACTGGAATAGTAAAGGTGTACAAGAAGCAGCCATTAGGAGAGTGGGTCAGTGTTAGAGAGGAAGTGCGAGGCTTTCTGCATGAGCAGGGGCACAGGTAAGAGCTCACTGTCTGTAGACAGCAGTGGGGATGGCAGTGGAATGCTCCTCTTGCAGGATGAGAGAGATCAGGGAGACTGTGTCCCTGGTGGCTACACCTGTGACAAGTGCACCCAGCTGTAGCTCCTGACAGACCACATTAGGGAATGGGAACAGGAGTTGGATTCACTCAGGATCATCCAGGGTGCAGAGAATGTCATTGATAAGAGTTTATGAAGCAGTCACACCTAAAAAGGTGTGGGCTGCAGGTAGCTGGGTGACCACCAGCTGAGGGAAGTTTTTGGGCAGGGGGGAGTGAAGGCAGAATTCCCCTGTTACTATTCCCCTCAGTAACAGGTATACCACTTTGGATATTGTTGGGTTGGGGGGCACAGGGTGGAGAATGCCACCTCCTGAAAGGTCAGTCAGGTGAGTGGCACTATGACTGGCTCAGAGGGGAAGGGTGCAGTCAGGCAGAGCAATAGGGATAGGAATCTCAATAGTGAAGGACAGACAGGAGATTGTGGCCACAGTAAAGACACTAGGGTGGTGTGTTGCCTCCTGGGTGCCAGGGTTAAGGATGTCTGAGCAGTTGCAGAACATTCTGAAGGGGGAGGGTGAACAGCCACATTGTCTACCCATGTCACTTGTACTGATGTGCAGAAAGGGACTGGTCCTGTGAAATGAGTATACGGAGTTAAGAAGTTAAAAGCAGGACCTCAAGGGTAGTGATCTCTGTATTACTCCCAATGCTACACTCCAGTGAGAATAGAAATAGAAAGATAAGCCAGATGAATACTTGGCTGAGGAGCTGTAGGGAGCAGGGTTTTCAGTTCTTGGATCATTGGGATCTCTTCTGGGATAGAGGTGACCTGTACAAGAGGGATGGATTGCACTTGAACCAGAGGGGGTCTAATATCCTCGCAGGGAGATTTTCTAGTATTACCCAGGAGGGCTTAAACTAATTTGGCAAGGGTTGGGACTCTGATTAAGACAGGGGCCATCAAGAAGCCATGGGAAAATACATTAGCCATCAAGAGCAAGTTTACTATTCAGGACAGCCAGGGGCACAGTAAAAAGGGAGGTAAAAGGACTTCTGGTTTAAAAAGTGCATTGAAATAAATGCACAAGGCCTGACAGGTAAGGCAGATGAGCTCAGAGCATGGATTAGCTCTGGGGACTGGGATATTATAGCCATAACAGAAACATGGCTGAGAGAAGGGCAGGACTGGCAGCTCAATGTTCCAGGATAAAGAAGTTACAGGTGTGACAGAAGTACAGGTAAGCAAGGAGGGGGGAGTTGCCCTTTTGGTAAAAGAGGACACAAGTGCTTAGAAAGGATACTCTTGAGTCATCAAATGAGGCCAGATGGTTTGAACTTAGAAACAAGGTGATGGTCAGTCTGTGGGACTGTATTGTAGCCCGCCTGCCCCACCAAAGAGTTACTGGGTACTAGAGGAGCAGATGTGTAGAGAGATTGCAGATACCTGTAGGAATAAGTAGTATTGGTTGGAGATTTTCCCTGTATTGACTGGGCCACCCAAAGTGTAAAATGTCTGGATAGGGTGGAATTTGTCAAACTTGTCCAAGAAAGTTTTCTAAAGCAACACGTAGAGGGCTCTGCTCGGGAGGGTGCAACAATGGACCTCCTCTTGGGAAATGAGGTCAGGCAAGTGACTGAAGTAGTGTTAGTCATACAGCACTTTGGGTCCAGCGACCACAACTCATCTTTTTTACATAAAAATATTAAAACTAGGACAGGTCCACAGGTTAAGGTGCTAAACTGAAGCAGGACCAATTTTAGGGCCATTAGGCAGGGTCTAGCAACAGTCAATTGGGTGACTGTTTGAAGGAAAAGGAATGATTGGCAAATGGGAGGTTTTTTTAAAAAAGTGTGATGTCAAGAGTTCAGGGACATTATGTCCCCATTAGGGTGAAGGGAAAAGCTGGCAGGTTTAGGGATCCCTGGCTGATGAGATATTGAGGCTCTGATCAGGAAAAAGAAAGCTTAAATCCAATGTATTGCCATCAGGCTCAACTGATTCCCTAGAGGACTATAAAAAGTGTAAGAACAGCACTTAAGAGGGAAATCCAAAGAGCAAAAAAGTATGAGATGGTTCTGACAGATAAACAATCCCAAGAGGTTCTATAGCTATATTAAGAGTAAGGGTGGCTAGGAGAGAATAGGTCCTCTTAAAGAGGAGTGTGGCCATCTAATGTGGTTAGAGAGGAGAGAATCATGGATGCTATGGAAATAAGGGAAACAAATGGAAATGTTTTGGACTACATACATATTACCAGAGAAGAGGTGCTTGCAGCCTTAGATTGCATTAGTGGTCAAATCCATCCTCAGACATTGTGGGAGGCTAGGGAAGAAATTGCAGAGGCCCATGGAGATTTTTGCTTTGTCTTTAGCCACTGAAGTTCAGGAAGACTGGAGGGTGGCTAATGTTGTTCCATTGTTTAAGAAAGGTAGCAAAGACAAGCCAGGGAACTACAGGCCAGTGAGCCTGACAGTGGTAAGCAAGGGGCATGGATAGGATGAATGCATGCAGTCTTTCCCTGCCCTAGGTTTGGGAATTGAAAGCTAGATGGCATAGGTTTAAGGAGGACCTGAGGGGCAACTTCTTCAGGCAGAGCTTGCTGTGTATATGGAAATAGGCTGCCAGAGAAAGTGGTTGAGGCAGGTACAACATTTGGATAGGTAGACAAATGGGAAGGGTTGCAAGGGATCTGGTCCAAATACAGGCAATTGCAACTAGCTGAGTTGGCACCATGGACCAGTTTGGGTTGAAGAGCTGGTTTCCTTGCTGTATCACTCTACGACTTTAGACTAATCATCTAGAGACCTAGACCTGAGTCCTACCACAGGATATTGTGGAATTTGAATTCAATAATAATCTGGAAATAAAAGAATCTAACAGTGACCATGAAACCATTGCCAGGAAAAAACCTACTGGCTCACATGTCTTTTAGGGAAGAACTCTGCTGCCCTTACCTGGTTTGGCCTACATGGGACTTCAGAACCACAGCAATGTGCTTGACTTAATTGCCCTCCAATCAATTAGGGATTGGTAATAAATACTGGCCTTGCCAGTGATGCCAAAATCCCACAAATGAACAAAAGCAGAAAGCTGAAGATAGCCTGGAACACTATCTTGCCAACTATATGGAGGAACAGGGAGTCTGTTTTGCAGTGATAGTGCCCCTCTCTCTGGTCCAGGGACCTGGGTTTGAGTCTCACCTTCCCCAGACAGATGTGATAACATGTTTGTGGTCAGGTTGATTGGAAGAGATCTGCCCTGAGGAGCTCCTGTAAAAGAGGAGCTGAAGTTGAGATTATCTTGTCGATAACCCCAAACATCTTCCTTTCTGCCAGATAGAACTCTAGCCAGTAGAGCTTGCCTCAGCTTTGAGGAGAGGCCTTTCGACCCAGTTTCTCTCCACAGATTCTAAAAATATGGAAATATTGCCAGATTCAAAATCTGTCAAGTCTTATTGCTGACATCCAGAGCTGTCACACCATTTTAGCTTTTTTGTCCAGATTTTGAGTGAGGCTGAAGCATGACTTGCAGTCATAGGGGTCCTGGCAGAACCCACAGAGCACTGGTGAGGAGGCTATTGGTGAACAAGTATCACGTGATAGTCCTGTCAATGACTCCTTCCAGTCCATACTTTAACATCAGCAGACAAAATGTAACATTGGACTGGCTGGACTGCATTTGTGACTGGAGGTGCCCAGACAATTTTTCATATTGGTCAGGCAGCTGTCAGTGTTTTAGCCAAGCTGGTCCAGTAGGACTAGAATGGCTAGCTCCAGGACTTTGTCCCAGACCATAGCCTTTGATACACCCTATGCCCCAAGCCATTTCAACATTGTATTACACAAAATGGGATGAAACATGGCAGGGGGTGCCTCAAGAAGAGGCAAAGATGGATCATCCCCTCAGCAATCTGCCAGAGGACAGTTGCAAATACTATGTTTTGTCTTTTACACAAGCACTGAATTCCACTACCATCTCAACTGGACACACTCATTGTGTTCAGTTAGTTCTTATTTGTCTGCCATTTATGGCTGGATTTGGCAGCACTGCAGAGTCTTGGTCTGATCTTTTGTTTAGATGACAGCTTAGCTGTCCATAGTATGCCCTTGCTGTTACACGCTTCTCCAAGCTGGCATCCTGCTCCTGCATTGTTCCCATTAAACCTTCTAGTTCATTATTCTGCTGTCTGACACCACTAATTCTACGGATGAGAAAAAAAGGTCCATTTTGACTATTCATTAAGCATCACAAAAACAATAGTGACTTACTGAGGCAGCAATGTTGATTCTGAAATTTTTTTGAGTTTGTAGGAGATGAAATCTTGTGTCATGAGCCTCCAGAACAGCAATACTTAAATAAAATACTGCAGCAATGAAGTGATAGAAGACATCCTAAAACAAGTTGGAGCACAAAATGAGAAACCAATTCACAATTGTTTTGTAATAGATATCTATGTGCAGTCCACCCCTAACAATTCCCCTGCACCCCCCCCACCCCAAAACAAAACTGCCCTAAAGTGATTGTTGGTAGATGCACTGCCTATTTGAAAGCCAGTGACGATCTACTCAGAACCCTGCAATGGTTGGTTAAAGTATGAGACGAGATTATTACCTATGGTTCTAGCCAGTAAAATGATTCAATGCATACTGAAGAAAATAGCAGTTGAGAAAAAACCTTAACCTTCTTTACACAGTTCTACATGAATAATAGCAACTTGGCTGAGGGTATTAGGTATCCTCAGGAAAAAAGTGTAGCCTAGACAGAAAACTAGAGTGGCTAGCACTGGTGCCTCAGCACTAGGGATCAGGTTTAAACCCACCTTCAGGCAACTATCTGTTTTGCATGTACTCCCTCTGTCAACATGGTTTTCCTCCAACAGTCCAAAGATGTGCAGGTTAGGTGCATTGGCCATGTTAAATTGCCCAGTGTTCAGGGATGAGTAGGTTAGGTGGGTTAGCCATGGGGAATGCAGGGTTACAGGGAAAGGGTGGTGGGTAGTGTGGAGAGTCTGGGTGGGATGCTCAGAGGATCAGCATGGACTTGTTGGGCTGAAATGGTCCGTTTCCACACTGGAGATTTTAATGGATTCTATGAATTTCACTGCTTTGAATCCATTTAATGATTGGACCAAATTACCCCCATTTAATTCCAGACTTCAGTTGTCCCTAGACATGCATGCCCACTCCAAACAGATTCAAGACAATGAATTGTCATCCATTTTTATTAAAAACACCTTTCTTCCAAATGTCTGTGTTTAACTTCATAAAAGCAGGGCAGTTATTTTAGGATTAAGCTGAATGTTATTCAATGTGGTGTCCATTGAATCTTATGGCATAATCCAATGTTTCTTTCATTAAGAAAATCAATGCTGTTCCCCTAGACTCCCCTCTTACAAATTTTGAGCAATGTCCTTTTATAAATAATATATACACTTTAAAATAAAAAGCAGAAAATTGCACTCCCACCATCATTGCAACCAGAAACAATTCTCTTTTACTGTCACCAGGACCAAGTTCTCACTTCATTCACAGTCCTGTGGGTTTTTCCCTCCCCAGAGGGATTGATGTCAGAAGATATTTCCAGTTAGTTAATCTTGGAAGTTAGACCACAACAGCAGATTTGTATTGGGAGCTTTTTGGTCGTAGAAAAGCTACAGGAAGATCATAGAAAGGCCAGAGACATACCACTGCACCCCATGCGGATGAACTGTTCTGAACTCCAGCCATGTACAGGATGAGCAGTAACGTAGTTATCACAAAGCAGAAAACTGAAACAAACATCACCCAGCCTTGATCAGCTGCAAATGCAACTCGAGCAGAAGCCACAAGGATCCAAACCAGGCCACCAAAAACCTAGAAAGACAAAGAAGAAAAAACACTAATTAACTATGAAATCTGACCTAGCCCAAGTGTCATTGCAGTTCTACAATGACTTGGTCATGATTTGGCCTTGCCTCAAGCCACTTTCAGGCTGCTCAGAGGTTAAATAACATTAACATCATTCATCACCACAAGGACTTTGGTTCAGTGTTCATCATGTTCAGAATATTAAAACCAGAGGATCACCCTACATTGGAAAAAGTAATGAAATCACAAGTAAAGCAATAGTAACAAAAATATAGTGAGCAAAAATGATAAAATTTCTAGAAAGGGAGGCAATGGCAGCAAATATTTTTATTTAACTGATCTAAAGATTTTGCAATGCTATTCAGGAATAATTCAAGACACAATGGGTACAGGAATTCTTAGGAAGAAAATACTCTTTATAGATGTCTTTCAAAATATCCCATAATTGAATTTGCTGTAGATAGATTGAAATCCATGACTAGTTAGCACCTCCAACATCATGCAACCAGCAAGTGAGTGGTTTGCAAAAACTTATCACGAAAGGATCACACCAGTTGGCCTCATTCCTGATCTATAAAAGAGATTTCTGCTGGAAAAATGCATGCTGTGTGGATGTCACCCAAAGATAGACTTATGCTTGGCCAAAGATGACCTCATTAAATAAGTCATTAGAGCTTTGTCCAAAAAGAAAAATAAAGGGCAGCAAGGGAATAGGAAAACAACTGCCAACCATAGCATCCAAAGTAGTGTCAGTAGGCCTTGATAGGGGAGCAAATTGGAGGGAAATAAAAATGGAGCTTGGCAACTTAACCTTAAAACATTATTTCACTTCCAGTTTGGCTGAAATAATAAAATGACTGTATTCCACAATTTTCATTCAACGTCCAATCTCACGGTTTCAAACTTCGGTCACAGCATTAATTGACCACAAGTTCAGGTTTAGCTTCTAATTTAAAAACAATCTCAGCTGTAGACAAGTCTCCTTCAAACTCAGCCTCAACTACAATTCAGTTTCACCCTTAGCCCCACCAATTCCAAACCCGAAATGGAGCCTCAACTTCCACTTTAAAATGGAGCTTTCTGCAAGTGGATAACCTTGAGCAGTTTAATAGGCAAAAGTAAGTTATTTACTAGAGAGAGTTACAATGCTATGGAATTCAGTGTTAAGAGCTGGAGGCAAAATCCACATTAACAGGCAGTTGGACAGGCATACATGAAGGAAAAGCATATGAAGTGCAATTATAATTATAGAACTCAAAGTAATTTGTCCAAGGCCATGCTGGTTATGACTAGAATACTAGTCACCAGGATCATTAGCACCAATTTGGAGATGTTGGGCAAGTGCCTCTTTTGCCCATTTTGTTCTCCTCCCCTCCCCCCAATGTTTCATGCTTGTATATTTGCCTTGATTAATAAATAAGTTGGCAAGAGACCAACTCAGGTGACCACGTTAGCTTTGATAAAATATTTTATTAAAATATGCCTTTCACAACTTCAGGGTATCCTAAAGCACTAAAAGCCACAAAATATATTGCAATGCAGTTACCATGGTTTCACAGCCTTTTGGCCAAGATCAAATTGCAATGTAGGACATGCAGAGGACAAACTCTCAAAAGCAACAGTGTGGTAATGACCACGATCATTTTAAGTGCTGTCAGTTGCAGGATTAACAGAGGCCAAGGTGTCAGAGATAATTCCTCTACTTCAAATTGGACACCCACTGAAGAGACAGTCTTCCAACAGAAGAGAGAGAGTTAGTCTAAATTTTTTTGGGTATGCAATCATCAGCATGGAGTTGAACCCACAACCCCATTCTGGAGAAATTGTTAGCAACTGGGTCAGGGTCAGGTTCATGTTCATTTAACTGTGATCCAACAAAATTAAAGTTAGAACAAAGGCAAAACACAGCTGGTCTGGATGCATCTGAGGAGACAGAAAACTGACGACTTCACAAGCTTCAAAAATGTCCATCTTGGGCTTCCTGCAGTGCCACAATGATGCTACCCGATGAGTTGCTGTTTCTGCAACCTTTCTGCTTGGGAACCCTGCAGCCCAATGGTATCAATGTGGACTTCACAAGCTTCAAAATCTCCCCTCCCCCTACCGCATCCCAAAACCAGCCCACAGCTTGTCCCTGCCTCCCTAACCTCCCCTCCTCCCACTTCAAGCCCCATCCCCATCTGCTACCTACTAACCTTATCCCACCCCCTTGACCTGTCCATCCTCCCTGGACTGACCTATCTCCTCACCTACACTCCCCTTTACTGGCTCCACCCCCACCTCTTTGACCCATCTGCCTCTCCACCTATCTTCTCTTCTATCTGCCTCCCCTCTCCCCATTTATTTCAGAACCCCCTTCCCCTCCCCCATTTCTGAAGAAGGGTCCAGGCCCAAAATGTCAGCCTTCCTGCTCCATTCATCCAGCTCTACACCTAGTTATCTCAGATTCTCCATCATCTGCAGTTCCTACTATCCCAGAGATAGTAGGAACTGCTGAAGTCTCATAACAGTGTGGAGCTGGAGGAACACAGCAAGCCAAGCAGCATCAGAGGAGCAAGAAAGCTGACGTTTTGGGTCAGGATCCTTCTTCAGAAGTGGGGAAGGGGGCTCCGAAATAAATAGATGGGGGTGGGGAAGGTGGTGATAACAGGTAAATATTAGAATTCTCTCCACAGATGTTGTCAGACCTGCTGAGTTTCCTCCAGTAAGCTTCTGCTTTGGTTTCAAATTTCCATCACCTGCTGTATTTTGCTTTTATATATAAATACACAGTGATTGTTCACCGTTTTAATGCACTCCTGCCTTCAGCAGGGGAAGAGTAGAAGCAATCCCCACTACCTCCCATTGCTACAGCTCTACGGCCCAGCCCTCTGTCCCAGGTTTGAGACCTGAACTAACTGGTTCTTCCAGACCATGACACCATCCTCAGCCAAACTCGTTTCTACCGGAGGTGACCGGGTGGAGATCAGCAACAAGAATTTTGACTAAATTCCCCGTGCCTGACCCGAGGCTACAAAAGAACTGGGGGTGGGGGGGAAGTGTGTTATCATCAAACCCTTTCAGCTGCAAATACAGATAACAATATTTTCTTTGAAAAAATGCCTGGAGTCCGGACTTGAGAGATTTAAATTTAAAAGGAGGAGTGGACATCAGTTAGTAGCAATTTAGCAGCCAAAAAAAGACTGCATGTAGGGTTAGTATTTTTATGGGGGCTGGGAAGTTAGGGTGGTCGACTTTCGGGGACCTTTTAAACAAAAAAAAGCTGCTTTTACTTCACTTTATATCCAAACGCAATGGAGCGATGCAAAATGCCAAGGCTGGCATAATATCACTTGTTTTATACCAGAGACGAAAAAAAATTACAGTAGCTCGTTTATAAGTGACCGCAGTCAGGTCAGAAACCCCTAAAACAGAGCTGGCAATGTACAGACCAGGAGGGGCAAGGGATGGGAAAGAACATTAAGCTTCGTACTAAAAAGGCTGAAATCTTCACTCAAAAACCCAACTTCGCATTTTATTCCTGAACCTGTTCGATTTGCATAGGAACCCTCGCTGTAGGATCTTATTTAACCAACTTTTAAGTTCTCAGCATCTTACCAATCCTACTGGCTTGCAATTAAAAAGCTTTCTGCAAGTTCCTCCCCCATCCCCGAGACATACCGGGCTCAGTGAAGACTGAAGCTCCTTTTGCAAATTGTCTTTCCCCCAAAATCAATAGCCGATGCAGTGTACCTGTACGGTTGTCTCTCTATTCCCCCTCCCCCGGGGCTCTCTAACCCTCCCATAAAGGGGCTCAGCCAAATCCAGTGTGGTGCTTTCACAAGTCCAGCTAAAAAAAAACTGAACAAATCTGAGCCAGCCGTAACCTATGGCTACAAAGCACCAGCAAAACAGACTTTTCAATCCTTTCACAGGAAGAGTGAAAACATTACTAACATTTCTTTAATTAAGCATTATTGATTTAAATCAGAATTCAAACTCTCCCAATTTTAAAATACCATTCCATTCAGAACGGTTTTGAGACACAAGTCATCATTGCGTTATTTTACATTTATTCTCTAACACCCATTTCTTATGCTTATCCTCTGACCCAACTTTTGCTCTAGATTCCTGAACCCTTCCCCACACTTCCTTAAAATTATCCCGGTTTCTTGTATTCTCACTACCGTACTCTTAAACTTCAGTCACCCCTTTTCACTGTATTCTGTACTTCACGTCACCCATATCTCCAGCACAACTCCCCCCTGTTCCCCAATATCACATGCTTTCTATAAAGCTCCCAGAACATCTAGCTTGGTGGAAAACACACAAATTGGCTCAAACGCACACCACGTTTTACAGCACAGGAGGCAACGTTTGTCTTTTTCAAAAAAAAACACAACCTGCTTTCAGTAAGATAACAAAATAACATTACTCACAAATTCACCCAACATCAGGATCTCTGGGAATGTTGTGCACACTTTTCCCCCAGAAGGTATGGGGCTAGTTGAAGCTGTTGGAGCCGACATGGTGTCACTTAGACCAAACAAAGGGCTTGTGGAAAAGATTACCCAGCTAGTTCAAACGGAGTGGCAACTCTGAAGTTGGTAGCTAAGTCTGCATCAGGATTGATATACCAGGGCCAATTTGAGGGTGTGTCTCTCATTCAATCAGTCATTCCCAAATTGTTTTGCATCATTGAATTAACACCCGCCTCCTGGAGCGTGGAGGGGGAGGGGAGGAGAGAATTGTGCAAAATGTATGAGTGAAGTCTTGCTCATCTGTTTCTCCATTTACTCCTCTGTGCTGCATAGATGTCACCATGCTTTTATTCTGCTATACGCAGTAATAGTGGTTGAATTGAAGTTTTATCATATGGTGAAGTTTGATCAGTCTTTAGAGTCATAGAGCTGTACAGCACAGAAACAGATCCTTGGGTCCAATTTGTCCATGCTGACCAAATATCCTAAATTAATCTAACCCTATTTGCCAGCATTTGGCCCATATCCCTGTAAACCCTTCCTATTCATGTACCTAAATGACTTTTAAATGTTGTATTTATAGCAGCCTCCACCACTTTGTCTGGCAGCTCATTCCATACACGCACCACCAACTGTGTGGAATCACTACCCCTTAGGTCCCTTTTAAATCTTCTGAGGAACACCCATATTACTGCATAAAGAGAACCTCTATCAATTGACTGATTCAGAGCCTTAGAAATCCCTCCAGCACCACGAAAGCTCACATAAATGACCACTCTTTGTGACCAATACCCCTCACTTAGTGACATCCCACATTGCTACATCATGATAAATCACCCTTTCTATAGCAGCCCAAATGTCCAGCTTGTGCAAAGTTTCCTTCCTGAAATATAACACACCGCAGGCTTGGTGTTGAAAGTTTTGGGAGGTCCCTTTGTACTAGCAAGTGAACTGTCCTGAGGACACCCCAGCCAGATCATTTCCACCAGGATTCAGAATTTGTGCGACTGTAACTGAATTACAAGAAGTACCACCAATTCCCTTTCCCCAAAGAATAATTCAGCAGTTGGGGGACACTGGGAAAACAGTTGACAACTTGATTCAAGTGAGGTCACAAGTTAGCAATCAGACTGAGGACCGTCTCCAGATGAGCACATTCACCAGAAAGAATGACATCCAATTGTCCAGAGATGCAACAACAACTTTTGTTCACATTGTGCCTTTAAGAGTGAAGCAATTTCTAGACTGTGGCTAGAAATAACTGTTGGGAATGGTGAGACTAAGCTAGGAGAAGGAAATTAAATAAGACCACAGTCTTAGTACAAAGACCTTAGTACAAAGAGAGCAGGCAGTGGGGTTTTCAAACACTGTACTTGAAGTGGTAGCTGTGAGGTTTCAAAAAAGAAAAATATATATTGATGAGGTACTGATGGGGCGCAGGAGCCTCATTCCCCAGCAGAGGCTCAAAAGCTACTTCTTTTCCTCAAAATATGTCAAAAATGTATAAGTATTGCAACAGGAATGTTGAAGAACTTCGCACAAAAATTCAACTTGTCTCTATACAGCACCTTCCACTCAATATGACTGCAATCATCTTACTATGTGCAACGTACACTCAAAATCAGGTGCACGAACCAAGAACACATTTCAAATTGAAAACAACTAGAGATGCAATAGAACATAGAACAGTACACCACAGTACAGGCCCTTCGGCCCACAATGTTGTGCCGACCTATTATCCTACTAAGGTCAATCTACCCTGCATACCCCACATTTTACTATCATCCATGTACCTATCCAAGAGTCGCTTAAAAGTCTCTAAAGTACCTGACAAGAGAAGCAATAGAAACAGGCGTCATTCTCCTCTGAAACACCTCAATACATTTTCAAGTGAATGGCAAGTCATAGCCACGGAGATCAATTTTAAGAGTATAACTCCAAGAACAGGAATGCAGTGCAGGAAGAAGTTCATCCCACATGGTGGTAATGGTAAGGGAATGGATCTTCAAATAATCTACCAACTCCTCCAGCAGTCTCAGACATTGCCCCCTCCCCCCCATCACTCACCTAACAGCAATTGGACCAACAGATCTCATTTGCTTCACCTCACTCTTACATACTTAGCTCTCTCTCAAGCTTCAAATCTACATCCTTGTCTTGCATGGTTTGGCAGCTATTCAACTGTGAAAGTCATATCACAATGACACTGTCATGGTTGCCTCTCAAACGTGGTAGAAGATGCTGTACAACTGAAGTCAACAGGAGAAGAGACAGGACTGCATATTCGAGCTTCCATACAGGAGACTGCTAACCATGAAGGAAAGAGCCATTATTAGGCTGAAACAATTAGCCAAGACTTCATCGGAGGCTCCACTGATGATGTTACCTAGCTTGGTGACAAAATGTCTGAACGAGAACAAGCCAGCACGGCGAGCAAGTCGACAACCTCGTCCACATAACTAATCCCCCTTCTGTCATCCAACTTCTCCCTCATCCCTCAATATCTTGTGACATCAAGTTTCAGTTGGTGTAAACATTGCATTTCTTACTTTCTCATCTACTACCCTGTAGCCAGCCATTTGTTCCTTTTAAAAACTGAAAGAACTGGGGATGCTGTAAGTCAGAAACAAAAACAGAAACTGCTGGAAAAGCTCAGCAGGTCTGGCAGTATCTGTTAGTTCTGTGGAAGGGCCACTCGGGCTGAAACGTTAACACTGATTTCTCTCCACAGATGCTGCCAAACCTGCTGAGTTTGTCCCTTTAACATATTCTTAGAAAGTCAACAAATTGAACCAGCCTAGGAAGTGGAGGAAGAGGAAAACAAAGACCAACACTCAATTTCATGGTCAGATGCCAGGTCAGATATGAGATTATTTTGTAATTCAGAGGATAGCACAGAGGAGAGATCTCCATGAGGTGAGACACCAGATACAATACACAATGGATAGAGTAATGAAAAAGAGTAGCACAAGTGCCAGTTTCCCGGAGGGTGAGGTCATGCACTAGTTTTACTGCAGCGGATTCAGGTGATGATTTCAAGAGACAAGGTTAAGGAGGAAGGCTGATGTGTTTAAAAATCCCAAATACTTCACGCATTGGAATGCCTCATGCAATGTTAAGGAGCATGGGGGAGCTCAGGACTTTGTGCCAAGCTTGGAGCCCATCCCTTCCAATATCGAACCGGTGGCTATCTCCGTAAGCACAGCGAGAGAAGCAGCCACATCCCATCATCTTCCACTGGAGCTGTCCAATGTTGGAGAGCCGCAGTGGAAGATTAGACCACTCTGAAGAATGGAAAATACCATTTAAAACAGCTTCCAGGGCACCACAGCATCTTGGCAATCAGCACCCTGGCAGAGAACTTACATTCCCAACGACTGTGCTGCCAGCCTTGCCACTCTGCCAGTGCCCTTGCTGCTGATTGTCAGCCTGGCAGCTGACATTCTGGTGCCAACGATGAGATGGTGGAGACTGCAGCCAGACCTTCTAGGCACAGGGTCACCCTGAAAGGCCAGTAGAAAGGAAGTAAAGGCTGAATGTTTTACTATCGTGTCCACAATGATACGGATGGATTATACATGAACTTGGCACGTATATTTTTGTGTTGCTTTGTTAGGAAGGGAACAGCCAGTGATGAGCAAGTTACAGAGGAAAGATCAGGAGTTTAAGCCTGTTGGTGAATGACGATTTGGGGTTATGCTTCCTGCTGTCGCTCAGTTCAGTGTTGAGCCTAGGCAGAAAGAAGCAGTCAGATTGCTGAGTCCCACCCCCCCAATTCTTCTTCCTCTTCCTCCTCCCCACCTTCTTCCAGCCCGTTAGCACCTGCCACATTACTCTCTGTTCAGTATCGAAACTAACCAACTACAAAACATACCTAAACAGTACAGAACTACCACAGCAGGGAGAAGATAACAATCCTTTAAATAGTCCGGGACAAGGAGGATAGCATGCTGCTAAACCTTTGTGTTTGGTCTTTGCAGAGTTCAGAAAAGGAACAGAATGTCAAAGTAGCAGCACTGGTTTCAAATCAGAACTTCACACTGCTTGATATTGTGCTATCGATGGACATAAAGACATCAATATATGAAGAGGAGGTTCCTTGAGTCTATTCTGCCATTCATTATGATCTTGATTGACCTTCTGTCTCAACTAAAGTTTCCCAAATCCCTTGATTCCTGGAAGGATCCAAAATGTACATAGCCCAGCCTGAAATATCTTCAGCAATAGAGCATTTGTTACACTCAGAGTGCATTCCTTTCTAGCTCCGTTCAGCAGAAAACCAGCATATACTACTTGGCCTCTGACACCAGCATTAATCCTCATGAAACTTCATTCATCACAACCTGCCAACTGGAAAACATCCCATTTATCCTGACTCTCTGTCTCCTCTGCATTCATCTCCACGCTACCCCCAGATCCATGGGTTCATGTTCCATCTGTTATATGCGTGGCACTTGAGAGAATGCCTTTCGGAAAGTTACATCTGCAGGCTTCCCTGTAATTGCAGCCTCAGAATAATACAGCCTCAAAAAATTTGTCAAACCCAGGGTGCCTGCAGTCTAACTCTTTTGTAAACATCGCACATGGTGCATGCCAAGGACACCATTTCATGCACTTTTGTTACCTTGCAGCAATGAAATAAAGGACAGTACCAAATGCAACGTGTCAGCCAGGTGAACAAACATTTGGTGGAAGAGGTATGCATTAAGAAGTAACATCGACGAGAAACAAGCAGTGCAGATTAAGGACTTCTGATTGGATTGAAGAGCTGACTCGATGGGCTGAATGGCCTACCATTTCTCTTCTGGTCTTATGGAATTCCATTGCTTTTTGCCTAGGTACCTAATCTAGATGCATTTGGATAAGGTTTATGATGAATAGGACTTAAATCTGAATTTGGATGGACAACTTAGTTTTTTGAAGAATATATATTTGAGGCAAGTTTCCACAATTAATCAAGCAGCAATGTTTATGAGGCTAATGGAGATATTAATGTCTCAGCCAACATCACTGAAATCAAGTGATCTGGTCATGACCACCTTACACTTTATTGGACGTTACTGCACTATGGCACAACAAAGATGTTATATGCGTGTAAACCTTTCTTTTTTCTCAGACAACAAGGTGCAGGGCTGGATGAACACAGCAGGCCAAG